CACTGCCCCCCCATGGTCCGCCCCCCCCTCTTGGGGGGAACACCTCTGTCCCCGCTGGCTGCCTCTCTCCCCGCCATGGTTTTTGGAGTCCCCCGCCCTTTTGGGGGACCCGGGACCATGGCAAAGTTCAGGATGGAGAGGGGGGGAGTAGCGCGGAGAACGTCCGTCCTCCGCTCTGCTCCGTGTAAACACTGACATGGGACAGCTACACTCGCAGCCTTCCCCTCTAAGCTGTCCCGGGGGGTTCCATCACTAAAACATTTATTAGATATAAATTAAAAAAAAGTAATAGGAAATAATAATTCAAATAAAAAATTATCAAAAATACAAAAAGTTAAAAGATAATAAGATAAATAAAAATTTCAAAATAAAAAAGTGATAAAGTTAAAAAAAAAATAATAAAGAAAAAAATTAAAACCAACCCTGCTGCCCCCCGCCATCTGGTTGCCATTCTCCATTGGGGGGGTTTGGCAGGGAGGGGTGGCACATTGAGATATCTGGCCTTGGGGCAGCAGAGAAAGCAAATCCGGCCCTGCTTCCCGTACCGGAGACAGGGAAATGTTCCAAAGTGAGGGTAGGCTCTTCTTATCTGACACCAAAACAGTTGCCCCCCCCCATTGGGGAGATTTCTCCTCTTCCTGATCTGGGACTTTGGTGGTGTGCCCAGGTTCAGAGCTTCACCCACTTCCTTTAGAATGAGATCTCCTCCTTGATGCTCCATTGTTTTACATTATAGATAATTCAGCGGTAGGCGTAAGAGGCACTTGTATTGACAATGGCCGAGGTGGTGGTGTTGGTGGTGGTGATGGTTGTGGTGGTGGTGGTGGTGGTGGTGGTGGTGTTGGTGTTGGTGGTGGTGGTGGTGGTGGAGGTGGAGTAGACGATACCTTCTCTCTGATGGGAATATCTCATTCCTGGAAGCCCTGAGAGACGTGAGGAGCTCACCCAACAATTTCATACAGGAACATTGTGGGGGTGGAGGGGGGACTTATTGGGTGCCGTAGGTGAACGTTGGTGACTTTTCTTTTTGCTTTTCTTTCAGATCCCTTCTAGAGGCGGAGAATACCCGAATATACCCCCCGACTGCCGATTACAAACCGTCTTCACCTTTCAGTGGTACGTATCTCTATATTTATACTGGTTTGCTGGAGGAACATCAAGTTATGTTAGATGATACAAAATCAGATTTGCTGATACCTTAGACGGTCTGATCCGTGGCCTGGTACAGCAGCCGTGATTGGGAGAGGTTTGGGCCAATGATACGGCCAGTCCACCCAAAAGGGATACTTATGTCGGAAGTGGGTCCTATTGAGTTGAGTCAAATCCTGGATTCTTATGGGTCTTGGATGGTCTATCTGCCTCAATTCCCTACTCTGTTCCCGTCTACATGGGAGTTTTGGGTGTTCTCCCCCAGCCTCCTGTCCCAGCTCCTCCCATTACATTGCCGAGAGTATAAAATACCTAAAAACCCTGTGAGAGCCCCTCATAATGGGCACAGCGGGTGTACAGACCCGGGAACTCAGCACAGGGATGGTGGGGGCCCCTCATAATGGGCACAGCGGGTGTACAGACCCGGGAACTCGGCACAGGGATGGTGGGGGCCCCTCATAATGGGCACAGCCGTTGTACAGACCCGGGAACTCAGCACAGGGATGAAATATCCTTTTTGGGTGGTTTGACCCTTGAAGGCCCACTCAACATTGAGGAACAGAACTAAGAAGTGCACTTTCTTTCCCTATCTGTTCCCGTGAAGTACAAGGCACACGGCTCCTGGCAATGGTTGAGGATGGTTAGATGCTGCTGTTTTTGTTCTCATGGTTACATTTGGCTGTGACCACCTGTAGACATATTTTTTAATTTTTATATTTTTGTATTGCAATAATGAATCCTGACTGTCCAGACAAAAGCTTTCATTCTCG